AAAAAAAAAAAAAAAAAGCAGATGCAATTTTCCCAGAAAGAGAGAGACTGACAGGTGCCTCCACAGCCCCAGCAAGTCCCGTACCTGGCCAGCAGTGGTGCTGTTGTGTGCCCTCTGTGACCACCCATTTGCTACACTAGCACTCCCCCAGATTGGGACAGAAGATTCCCAACCCCCCCCCAATCTGCTCCTGCCCTCCTCAATAACAATCCCTTCATGGCAAGCCCCCAATAGAGAGCAGTGCTCCCTCCTCCCAGCCCCTTATCTGCGCCTGCGGGCCTAAGACGGCCTCTACCCTATCAGGTAGTGCTCCTCAAACCCCCCCAAAGGCTTTATCTGCTGCTCTGGGGTGCATGCTGTTGGGTGCCAAGCACTTGGGGGGGGTGTCACCCTGTCACACCATCTGAGCCTGAGCACACGAGGGATGATGGTTACTTGAGAATCAAACACACGTATCGCAAGGGCCTTTTCCTTAACCAACAAAAAAAAAAAAAAAAAAAAAAGAATTGAACACACGACCTCTCGGTCGCAATATCAGAGCTCTAATCAGCTGAGCTACAACACTTACCCCACGGGTCAGTAGGTTTTTTTGGGTCTCAGATTACCAAAATAGGTTCCACAGTGCTCAGTGGTGGTTGGGAGCATGGAATAGAGGCAGGTGACACCCAAACATGCAGTTGAGATGCAGGTCCTGGATTGTTCAGTGCAGCTTCATCCCCAGGGCCAAGGGTTTTGTTTTTTTTTTCACCTTTTGTTTTTCGTTGAAAAGAGCCCGCCCTTTCCTGACCGTATGATATCCCATGCCACACAAACTTCTACTAATGGCATTAAACCATCAATGGAGTCCACACGTGCCCTAATCCAACCCTATTCAGCTCCTAATGGAAGCATGCCCCCAACCCACTTCTCGGGGTGGTGGTTGAATTACACAGAAGGGAGGGCAAGGGGGAAGCAGAAGAGGGAAAGGACGGTCTGTCTGCGTGTGTGTGTGTGTGTGTGTGTGTGTGTGTGTGTGTGTGTGTGTGTGTGTGTGTTTTGTCATATTCTCTATACACTCAAAAAAGCATGACTGTACCAGACTGTTTCGGCGGACTTTCACCGACTCATCAGGAGGTTGAGTGTGTGTCTCTGTGTGTGTGTGTGTGTGTGTGTGTGTGTGTGTGTGTGTGTGTGTGTGTGTGTGAGAGAGAGAGAGAGAGAGAGAGAGAGAGAG